AACTTGGGGTAGGAAATTTTGCTGCCTCCCTATCCCTTCCCCCTCCACAGGGACCCCTGTTTTCTAGCTCCCAGCTCATCTGCCAGATGCCTGAGCCCTGTTCAAATGTGGGATGCTAGAGAGTATCCACAAAGTGGTAAGTACGGAGATTCTCTGGGACCCTGACCCTGAATCTGAAGCCCTGGCTATACCCTGGCAGCATCACAGTTTCTCCTGATCAACTCAAACTAGCCCCCAGGCAGGATCTATACCTATGTGGTAGGCAGTTTCAAGCTTTCCCAGAGAACAAAGTTGACATGGGACAGAAAGGGACACTCATTGTGGGGCCAGGAAACAGAAGGAAAGACTGAAACAGAGCAGGGACCTAGAGCTGGCTCTGCTCCACCTGCACCACTTAGATTTCGCCCCCTGGCCCACGGGCACCCCCCCTCATTCCCCAGCCAAAAATGCAGCCCAGGCCTCCAAAGCAGAGGCCACAGGTCTGCCTGGGCAGGGCAGGTGCAGGCTGGATCGACTTTCCAGAAGCTATATATATATATAAAGGCTGCTGGGAGCCCCAGGCCTGCCGCTCCCTGAGGGCGCAACACCATAGGGACCCAGCCAGGCCCACATTCCTGCCTAGAGGCCAGCTCTCCATTTATAGCCCCTGGTCAGGCTGGCCAAGGGAGCTGAGTAGGGAGGACTGGAAAGGGCAGAGGGAAAAGGGGCAGCTGAGGCAGCTGCCCTTCCCACCTCCCACTAAGGAGCCCCTCTGTGTGAAGACAGGGAAACTGAGGCCCAGGGTGAGTTGTGCACTTGCCCTAGATCACAGAGCCCAACAGGCTGTGTTAGAGGGAAACATATAACTCCCACCCCATAATCCCTCAGCCCATTGTCAGTGGCCTCTCTCAGTGCCCATGAATAGGGGCACCTTGAGTAGATCCATAGTGTAAGGTTTGAACTCTCTGTTTCCAAACTTGATGTCCTTTTTTCCTCCCTGCCCCTAATCCACCACTTGGACTAAAAGGACACCAGGTCGAGGGCATACACACTTCTCCCTGCTCTTTGGGCACAGGGATGGGATGACTGTGTTGACAAACCTCTCTCCAAAGATATGGCACAACCAGAAGAATGATCCCAGGTGGGAATGGATCCCAGACCTGGAGAGATCTACAGAAGTCACCAAGTTCAGTGACTTCCAGACATTTTTCATGCAACAAAGCCCAATATAAGAGTGGTGTTTTACCACTAGAATGTGTGTTCACTTTAAAACAGTGCTTCTAACTTACAGAATATGAAACCAGAAATAAAGTTTAAAACTATTAAAACAGATTTCTAACCCATAAGTATAAAATATTGAATATATTTGATAAGTTCAAACATATAGTACTTATTGTAAACACACCTTGATGACAGCCCACAGAAAGTTTTCATGAACAGAAAACATAAGAATTAAAATTGGAATTCTTTAAGTCTCAGTATCCAATTTGTTTCTGTATTTTCTTTGTTTGCTCAAGGTTTGAGAAAAAAACTAGATTTGCACAGATAAGTAGTTTGAAGAGGTTCCCTGCACATTGCAGAATACTCTTCAATTAAGAGTATCTTCATTTATTCCTTCCTTCCTTCATCCATCCAAGAAATACTTATTGAGTGCATACTATATGCCAAGCATTCTGCGGAGGCTTGAACAAATAAGAGGAAATATTTGCTTTAATCCAAATCATTAATATAACAATTATTTACATTCCTCATTGTGAGTTTAAGTCAAATGAAAACACTCAAGTTTACAATAAACACCAAATTTCACTGTAGTGTACTATTACCATAATGTAACAGGCCACCTAGAATTAATTGCTCAATGTAAGGGGGCTTGCCCCAAGCCTGGGAAAGATGTCTATCTAATCAAATATATGGCTGCCCATTTTTTAAGAAATACAGCCATTTAATGAAGAAACGCACATTTATGAAGTTCAAATATATGCTTTGAGATCCAAAAAGCATGAGACCATCCATTCCTTCATTTGACATTTAACAGGTACCTACTATGTGACTAATGCTATGACGGTTTCTGGAAATGCCATGGTTGCCATCTTTGCCTTCGTGATTGACTTCATATTAACCAATGAACAAACCAATAGAGAAAAAGGTTAGAGGGTAGCAACACCAAGAAGGAAAAGGTAGGCGCTATGACTCAGAGTAAGGGAGATGGCTACCTGAAAAGGAATGGTCAGAGACATCCCAAGGAGGCAACGTGTGGGCTGAGATCTGATGCATGAAAAGCAGTCGATCTTGGAAGAGCCCAGGGGAGAGTGCAATAAGCTTAGAGCAGCAAGTTCAAGACTCTCAGGCAGGATCCTGTCCAGAGCATTGAAAGAAAGGAAAGGAGGTCAGCTAACTGGAATGGGGCCAATCAAGGGAATGGTGGTTTCAGATGAAGTTGGAGAGAGAGACTGTGGCCCGTTTGTGTCCCATAGACATACCAGCCTCCTTACTGTGCTTTCAAACTGCCAAACATAGTACTACCTCAGGACATTTATACATGCTTGTTTTTCTATCTGGTCCCAGATATCTTCTTTTGCCTCCCTTTATTCAATTATATTTCTTTTTCTTTCTTTCTTTCCCCTTCTTTCTCTCTTTCCTTCCTTCCTCTCTCCCTCCCTCCCAAAGGGTGTGCCTTTGGGGTATATATTTTGTCCCTGGTGAGAAGAACTCTCTCTCTCCTTCCTTGTTGCCATGTCCTGAGATGCTTTCCTCCTCCTCATGTGATGGGCTGCCTCACCTTGGACCCAGAACAGGCGAGTCAGCCATCTTGGACTGAGACCTGAAGTTGTAAGCCCTAAATAAACTTTTCCCCCTCTAATTGTTCTTGTCAGTGCTTTTGGTTACAGCCCAAAACAGTTCACTTGCCTTGCTTTTTTTTTTTTTTTGGTAGAAGTTATAACTGCATTATGTAATTCCTTGTTTATTTGTTAATTGTCACCCTACCCTACAATTTAAGCACCATATGAACAGGGCCTTGGTCTTTTTCCTTGTTACATCTCCAATACCTGCACCAGTCCCTGGCATATAGTGAATACTACACACAAGTAGCGTCAGTAAACAACGGTGATGTAATACATGAAGAGGGACCTTTGACACTACTCCCAGTGTCAGAGAAGTAAAGAAGGTAGGTCCCCCATGAGCCTTCTGGGTTTGATGGAAAGAAAGAGCTTCCCAAGACCCAGAAAGGCCAACTAGAATGGCTTCCCCAGAAGTTAATGGGAAAGGCACAAAGATCACTCTCGCTTAAATTTCTGGTGTACTGGAGGGAAGACCAGGCAAGGGTGGCTACATACATGATTAGACAAACATCTTTCCCAGGTAAGACCTGAGGCATGCCCCCTTCTGTTGGGTGCCCCAGAGCTGTGAACTGCAGATTCAGAAAGAGGCTGCACAACCTCATGGGAGTGGGATATGCTGGGGCTTGCCAGAGCTCTTGGGAGGTTGTGGCCTCCCCATTCTGTTCCCAACCTCTCCAGTGAGTTGCAAGGAAGAGACACAGCTGAGGCCTCCAGAGCAATAGATCCTGGAGACTTCACAGGTCCCTGCCAGGACTTAGTGCCCCAGACAAAGGCTAGGAAGCTGCTGGACATAACACTCACGCAAGTGCGGGGGACAGAAGCAAGACTCTAGTTAGCATACCCCTGCACCTCCACTGAGGGCTTCCACATGCTCCTTCTATTCAGATTCTCATCACCACCACAATGACTTCAAGACACAGTTATTATTCCCAGGTTTATAAAGTGGAAACTGCGGGTCTGGAGGAGATGTGTCTTCCACAAAATCCCCAAAAGACTCCTCTGATGGTAGATGGGGTGGTCTTCAGGCCAGGTCCTGGGTCTGGTGATCTTTACAAAAGGCACATCCCAAGGCTTTGCACAGTGAAAGAAAAAACAAGCCCCCTGGCAGAGGGACTTTTCTTCCCAACTAAAGAGGCATCTCAGCCTACCCCCAAGTCATGGCTCCGGACACCCCACAGGTTAAGGTGGGCAGGAAACATGCAGATTAAGGTGGGCAGGAATCTGCCTCCTTTCCTTTGGACCTCTGGACCTGGGCAGGATCCGAGTTTTAGCATCAATTCCCAACTCCTGTGCAGATGCAGCAGAGTTCCTAAGCTTCCAGGAAATATGGCTAAGTTCGCGTCCCGCAGAGCTACTCCCTGGGTAGACAGGTCAAGTGAGTGTTATGGCCTCCACGTCGTTTGTCTCAGGCTCGCCCACTTAGATCTCCGACTCTCGCTGTCTCTCATAGGCTTCTCTGCCCCTGACTCTAGCTTTCTGCTCTCTCAGCTTCTTTGGGTGTCTCTTTCACCATCAATCTAAGGTCTAGGTGTATCTGCCCTATTGCCCTGTGTCTCCCTCCGGATCTCTCCTGGTCTGATTTCTACCTTTGTCCTGCTTCTACTTTCCTCTAAAAAACAGGCGACAGACTGGGGTCCAAAGTAAACTCCGAGATGAATGCTCCTGGACAGCATTCCCAGTGGACGCAAGTGTCCTTTGCTGGGGAAGCTTGGAAAGGGTGTGCTGGACGAGGCGCTACTGGCTTTGGGCTGCAAGTCTGCCTCTCTCCCTATCTAGGGAGGGGCCAGAGCACAAGCGCACTAGTACAGAGGGAGGGGCGGGGGGCACTCTAAGGCCACAGCGGCCACCCTGGGGACCCCAAGCTCCGCCCCGCTCCGTTCCTATTGGCCTTAGGCTCCCCCGCCCCCAGCCGCCTGCTCCAGCACCCGGGCATTTAGGCTACCACAGATAAATAGCCCAGAGCTCCTAGCGCGCGCGAAGTTAGGGGTAAGGAAGCCCCAGAGCGCTCGGTTGCTTTGCCACACGTCCCGCCCCACAGGACAGGGCGGGGTGAGGACAGTCGGGCGTGCATTCAAACGCCCGGCACTTTGCCACTGCACCGCCGGGACTTTGGAGTGACAAGAAAGTTCTGGGCAACTCCTGCCGTTTCAAGTTGGGCGAGGCCAGGTTCCCTGCTGGGATATGGAGTTACTGTCGCCCCCGCTCCGAGACGTGGACTTGACGGGCCCAGACGGCTCCCTCTGCTCTTTTGCCACAGCGGACGACTTCTACGACGACCCGTGTTTCGACTCCCCGGACCTGCGCTTTTTCGAGGATCTTGACCCGCGCCTCGTGCACGTGGGAGCTCTCCTGAAGCCCGAGGAGCACTCCCACTTCCCTGCAGCTGTTCTCCCGGCCCCCAGCGCGCGCGAGGATGAGCATGTGCGCGCGCCAAGCGGGCACCACCAGGCGGGCCGCTGCCTACTGTGGGCCTGCAAGGCTTGCAAGCGCAAGACTACCAACGCAGACCGCCGCAAGGCTGCCACCATGCGTGAGCGGCGCCGCCTAAGCAAAGTTAATGAGGCCTTTGAGACGCTCAAGCGCTGCACGTCCAGCAACCCCAACCAGCGGCTGCCTAAGGTGGAAATCCTGCGCAATGCCATCCGCTACATCGAGGGCCTTCAGGCTCTGCTGCGCGACCAAGACGCCGCGCCCCCTGGTGCTACTGCCTTCTATGCGCCGGGCCCGCTGCCCCCAGGCCGCAGCGGCGAGCACTACAGCGGCGACTCAGACGCATCCAGCCCACGCTCCAACTGCTCTGACGGCATGGTAAGACCGGTACCCCAGGGGGGAGGAGAAAAGAAGGCAGCGCAGGGGATATATGCGACGCGTTCTGAACACAGGGAACTGAACCCTGAGGGGTGGGCCTTCCTGGTGAACTGGGCAGCGGTCGCGGGGGCGGGGGCGTGGATCCCGGTGTACTGGGCAGCTGTCGCCGGAGTAGCTTACTACTGTGGAGGTGCGCAGGACTTCAGCGATCCGCAGGATTGGCGGAGCTATTAGAATACTGCTCCGCGAACATAAAGGCACGCTTTTTCTTCACTTATCCCTACTTCCAAAATGCAGATACTGGCGGGGGTGGTGGGGGGAGGCTGGGGTTGTGGCTCAGTAGTACAGTGCTCGCCTAACATGCTTGAGGCACTGAATTCAATCCTCAGCACCATATAAATGTAAAATAAAGATATTGTGTCCACCTAAAACTTAAAAAATAAATATTTTTAAAAATGCAGATACGTCCATCCTTCATTTGTTTGGCCCTGCATAATGCAGATCTCTGCTTATGCCAGACGAACAGACGCGGTCCCGGAATTCGTGGCTGAAATTTTGGGAGTTGGGGAGGGGGCAGCTATAGGGAGTGGTGCTCGGGCTCCTCGCGGTTCCGCCGACCTGACGTGGTCAACCTTGCCGTTTACAGATGGAGTATAGCGGCCCCCCAAGCGGCGCCCGGCGGCGGACCTGCTACGATGGCGCCTACTACAATGAGGCACCCAGCGGTGTGTATACCCGGCCTAGCCCTGCTCGTGCCTCCTTCGCGCGTGCCCTTTGAGCTGTTCCGTTTTCCCTCTAACTAGTACCTCCACCCCCAGCACACATATATGTTGGGTGATGGTGCAGGGAATGAAAACCTAAACGTTCAGCTACTTCCCCTTTCGCCCCCCACTCTCTCTGGACAGTCCCAGACTCTGGTAGGTCCTCAGTTTCCCCTCTGCCCCAAAGCCTTGGACCCGTGGGGTGAGAGACCTTGCCACGGTTCAACCCCTGCTTACTAGCCTACTCCTCCCCGCGCAGAGCCCAGGCCCGGGAAGAGTGCTGCGGTTTCGAGCCTCGACTGCCTGTCCAGCATTGTGGAGCGCATCTCCACTGAGAGTCCTGCGGCGCCCGCGCTCCTGCTGACTGATGCGACACCAGAGTCACCTCCACTCCAACAAGAGGCAGCCGACTCCAGTGAGGGCGAGCGTGGGACCCCTGCCCCGTCCCCGGAAGCCGCCCCGCAGTGCCCTGCAGGCACGAACCCCAACCCGATCTACCAAGTGCTCTGAAAGGGGCAGGCTGCAGTGCCAAAGGGTGCCGCTGCCTACCCAAGGGATGGTACCCCTAGGGTATCTCGCACCCAAAAGATAGAGCTTAAATGCCACTCCTCCCAACTGCGCTTGAAAAGCGACCCCTCCCGAGGTGGGAAAACCGAAATGTTCTTCCCGTACCCCCAACAGGGCAAGAACTCAGCCAGTGTTTTCCACGAAGCACCCTGCCCTGATACCCACGTGATGGCCATTTGGGGTTTCTCCATGAGCCATAGCTGATCCTTGAGGAGCCAGGTTCCCTTTCCTTGCTGCCTCCCACTCCATTTGGGTTGAGACCCTCCCAAACCTAAGCCCTGCCCCTTTCCCCATGCCCAGGTTTTTCTTTTTCTTTTCTTTTTTTTTTTTTGTAGGAGTGGCGTTTCCCCTCTTTTCCGAAGCCCTCGCGACACCCACTCTTTCCCATAGCCGACGAGGTGCGCTCCAGTCCCAAATGTAACTGGTGTAACCGTACCCCACCCCTACCCCGCCGCGGTTCAGGACCACTTTTTGTAATACTTTTGTAATCTATTCCTGTAAATAAGAGTTGCTTTGCCAGAGCAGGAGCCCCTAGGGCTGTATTTATCTCTGAGGCATGGTGTGTGGTGCAACAGGGACTTTGTATGTTTATACGTCGGGCGGGAGAGCCGCGGGCGCTCGCTCGCTCAGGTGTTCGAAATAAAAACGCTAATTTATACCACGGTGGCTCGGTGGCTCGGCTTTCCCTGGTGGTGGGAGCAGGATCCGAGGAAACTCCGCAGGCTGAGCCAGCTGTCCCGCAGCGACCCCTGTAGGCGGCTGACGGTTGCAAGGAGGCAGCAAGAAAGGAAGATGCTTGTCTCTATTAACAGGAGGGAAGGTTCCTCCAACCTTGAGGTATATCACCACACACAAGTCAGTGGTTCTCCCAGAAGGATGGGAGGGTGCTCATGGCATTAGAAGTAAAAATTAAATGTCCCTGGAGGAGCATTGCAAGCTGTATGGCACTTAAAGGCTCTTAATGATAGGTGTAACCACAAGGGGAGGGCACAATCAGAAAGGCTTCTCTACTCAGGAACCCATGCTTGAAACATCTTTGTACTGTCTCATCTCAAGGACACAGGACCCAAAGCCTGTGAGGAGAGGGCACAGGAACACAGTGGGTATAGGTGTTCATCAGGCTATAAACTCTCCAAGAGCAGGGGAGGGGTCATTGTTTTAGCCAGAGCTTGAGGAATACTTCCTGAATGAGGCACCAGTTGAGCTGTAGCTTGATAAACAAGAGAAGACAAAGCCCACAGAGGGACACCACATACACATAGCCACCTCTGTGCGTCTCTGACCCCAGAGGGATGGCTTGGATAAAGTTTCTCCCTGTCCACATATACCTCCACCCATGCAAACCCTCTTCTCGAAAACCTACAGGCCCACTTTCAAGGCTTTGATTGTGGAGTCCTGGGCCCGTGCCAGGAGGACCAGCCTTGTGCCACACATAAGGATCCACTCTCTGATCTGAGGAGAGCCTCTGCTCCCTCAACACAGGGTCCCCAAGCAGCCACCTGGAGCATTCTGTTACTAGTGATGCTCTGCTTGTCTTCTGGCTGCTTCCTAAGATTCTCCTCAGGGTTCTTTACACTCCTTTGAGGCCCTTGAGAGCTCATTCAGGACTTTACCTATTCAATAGATGGCAAGTCCTGTGTTGGGGAAAAACAGAGAACGTTGGATGCAGTTCCTGCCCTTGGGAAACATTTGGAGCGTGTTATATTTCAAAGAATGAAGCACTATAATAGGGGTGTGTGTGCCATGGGATCAGAGGGGAGGGTTCCCTAACCATTCTAGGGAAGGTATAGACAAACAGATAAACTCTAAAAACAGTCTTGAAGAAACTGGTCAGGAAAGAGGGATCAAAGGAGGGTACTCCAAGCTGAGAAAACAGCAAGTGCAAAGACCCAGAGGTGAGAAAAAGCCATGCCTTCATAGAACTATGTGCTTAAAGGGAAGGGGCTAGAGGTGAAATGGGGAAAAGGCAGAGACAGAGCCACAGTGGGCCTCATTTGGTTTTTAACCTGAGGGCAATAGGGAGTCACAGAAGAATCAAAATGGGGAAAGGATATAAATAAACCTGTATTTTAGAAAAGTCAGTTTGGGTTGGCAGAATGGATAAGAGGGAACAAGACTTGAAATAGGAAGATCTGTCATGAGATCATTGATTTTGCTCAGAGCAGACATGACATGTCCTGAAATGGGGCAGTGATGGGGATGGAAAGGAGGCATAGAATTGGAGAGTGTTGTGCCAAATAATTACAGGTGTTGTGGGTACAGTGGAGACCTCTGATGACAGACTCCCTATTTTCATACAGCTTAAAAGCTGAGGAGGAAATGGCCATTAGACAAAGAATCAAGTGAATAAATTTAATGTTATAAATGGTTATAAATGGTGAGAAATGCTCTAAGGAAAAGCAAAGGGTGCGATGAGAGATGAAAGTGGGGAATGAGAAGGTCATCAGGTGACAAGAGGAGGAAGCAGGATTTCTGCACTGAGTTTCACTCCTGGGAAACTGCCTTGCAGCAGGGATCACAGCTCAGCAAGCAGAGAGTAAGCTGGACCTCAGCCCCCACTCACCTCCTTATCCAGTTGCTCTTGCGTAATGACCAACCTGCATAACTGTTCATAGCCCCTTGTATGTGGAGACTGTAGGGAAATGGAGAGAAAGAAGGAGCCATGAATGACTTCAGGCTCTGGTTCACTTTTGAGTGTATTTTGGTGCCATTATAAGGATGGGGACATCAGAAGGAGAAACATGTATAGGGATACATTTAGACTGGATGCTTCTGGTCATGAGTAATGGAAACCACATTCAAACTAGCTTACACCCCACAAGGAGGTGGTCTGAAAGGACAATTTGGAAGTAAAGCTGTAAGCACCACTCTATCCATGGGTGTCAGGAGCTGGGACTAGAGCCCTTTCACTTTTTCATGCATCTCCCTCTTTGTCTCTACTCAGCTTTACCCTCTCCTAGTCCAGCAACTCATCTCAACATTGAATTCCAGTTAGAAGATTCCCAGAAGAACTCTAACTGGACCAAATCAGTCGTGAAGCAGGGTTTGCACTCAGGCTGAGGGACTCTGTACACTGTAATCTCAGCTGCCTTGCTATGCCACCTCCACAGAAGAAGTCAAGAGAGGAGTGAGGAAAGTTAGGAGATAGGGGAGCAGCTGGAGATTAGATCATTCACAGGAAAATGGGGTTCAGGCACCCTCCTGGCCTGTGTCTTACCTTAATCCCCATGGGGAACATCTAGCCGAGCTCAACTCCATTTGCAGTGTAGCTGAAACGTCTCTTGCACATGAGGCCATTTTTACCTGAGCTGCACCTGAGTAAGCACCAACGCCATGCCCTCCAGAGATGTAGCATGTGTCTTAACATATGTGCTCCTGTGATTAGAGTGCATCACCAGAGGCTGATATACCAAACCACCCACAAAGATTAGGCTTCAGGTCCTCTCCCTTGCAAGAATCCCTTCCATGGCCCTGAAAGAAGCCCTAGAAATATGTCCACATGGCCTAGTTCTTTTTTAATTTTCCAAAGCAAATTACTCTAAGCTATTGGTTATGACCATTGCCTCTTTCTGGTTCCTCCTTGTGTTGGGTTGCATTTGGGGCACATTGAGATCCTATCTAAAGGTATGAATTTCATTTGGGATGGGTGGAGTATATTTTAAATAAATGGAATATTTTTTAAAAGGTAATAATGTTGAACAATGATGTAAGTTAAGATGATTCTAACATTAAGAAGACAAACGTATCTAAAACATGTATTTAGATCATTCCAAAAAGTAGTTATTACAAGAAAGGGATAGCTTTTGAATAGATGTGGAAAAGACTCTTGTATTGTTTGATAATTCAGTCAATGAAGAATAGTGAATCATATAAACACATTGGGAAAATATTTAAATTTTTTGCTCATCTGGCACAAAATACTGACATCAACAAAGACAGCATACAATTTATAATACGCCACTATAACAAGACGTCAACACCAACACAATTTTAATGAACTTTACCAATGAAAAATATTTAAAATTTATTACCATACAAGAGAATTCAAAATGCCTTGCACTCTTACAGCCCCCAGAGGAAAGAAACTTGATTGATATTTCCCCAAATGTGACACCAATCCTAAAAATGTACATGACATTTCTTTTTTTTTTTAAGAGAGAGAGAATTTTTTTAATATTTATTTTTTAGTTTTCAGCGGACACAGCATCTTTGTTTGTATGTGGTGCTGAGGATCGAACCTGGGCTGCACACATGCCAGGTGAGCGCGCTACCGCTTGAGCCACATCCCCAGCCCTGTACATGACATTTCTAATAGAGCTGTGAGCCTGAAAGAAGCTTCCTGAAATTATTCATGGTACAAACAAGTTTTGATCAAAACTTTGTTGAAAGAAAGATGGAATGATCTCTCTGTTCTCTATATCAAAAAAATCTTATTATAAAACCACATCACATGAAGAAACAATCAAAGAATGTGCAGCCGGGTGCAGGTGGAAAGGGGTAGGCTGGAAAAGGCAAGAAAAGGGAGGAACGGGGAAGGCAGAAAAATGAGGAGAGGAGGAAGAACATGAGGACAAAGATGATATGATGATGATGAAGAACGAGTTTTTTTCTCATCTGTAAAACATTTATGCCACCTGCACACAAGTCACTACTACTAAAAAAAAATTTGATTTGAGATTGGGTAATATTTGTTTTAATACCATACAGGATCATTTTTGCATAGTTAATATTTTTTCAGACAACAATTAACAGTGGGTTTTATTTCATGTAGAACTTTCCCAGGAGCAGGGAAAAGTGAGTCCAGAATAATACATGGATGGCTACATGGTGGCATGGGATTGAGGCCTGGCTGTGCCATTCATCAGCTGGGGGCCTTGGAATGTGACCTAACCTATTTGGGCTTCAGCTTTCACTTTGTAAAATAAATTAATGATTTTAAAAGG